ATATATATATATATGTATATTAAAATCCCAGGCTAAACTTTTTGCATTTGGATTACTTCACAAACTTCAGAGTAAATGTTTTTTAAAAAATTAAAAAGAACAGTTACTTGACTTACATTCACCTAAACAAAGAGGACTCACCCAAGTTGTTTCTTCAGAACCAAGACTCTGCCTTAAAGGCCACTTAGCACTCTTGGGTTAAAGGGAACAAAATGCCAGTAGCCTTAGAATAGCCCTTTTGTCTGTCAAGCCAAGAGGGTTCCAGAATTTTGACATGCAGTCTCAAAGCACTTCACTACACGCTCAAGACTTTTAAAAAGTATAAAATGCTGGACGTGATGTAATCCACTTATTTTTATTATCATTTTCATTTTACAACTGGAGAAACAAATTCAAAAGGGTCCATTTCATTATTGAGCATTGGCAAGCCTACATTTTACAAATGGGCAAATAAGGCTCAGGGAGATGAAGTGACTCTCGGAGGTCACACAGAAAGTGAGTGGGAGAGTCTGCACCTGAGCCCAGGCAGACCCTTTGATCAATCACTAAGAGCTAATTCCATAGTAGGTCAAAGGATGACTGCAAGGACCATGTGTTTATGATGGGCCCATTTCTTCTTGAACCAAGCCCATCACTGGGAAATTTCAAATATTAGTTAATACACACACAAAAATAAATGCTTGAGGTAGCCAGTCGTAGGAACAGAGAAGCATTCTCTGCTATAAGGTTGCAACCGCACTCAAAGCCACCAATCCAAAAAGCTCATGCTCTACTCCTACCCCACGTTCCAGACCCTGGGTTTGGGGCTTTGGCTTGTAGCTCTGGCTCATGACTGAAGGACCCCAAGTCTGGCAGGTGTGTTACCTTGACCAGGTCAAAGTGACCTGGGACACAACATGGCTCTGTTCCCAGCACCTCCAAGGAAACAACCAGTCCCTAGTCCAATACATACGGAGTCCTGTTTATGCACCATCCCTGTGCTAGACTCGGGGGGAATCAGCAGTCAGAGAGGAAGGCAGGGAAAAGACAGCAAGATGAAAGAAGTGAACAGAACACTGTATCTTTGCTTGAAAACAAAAGGAAACCTGCTATTCAGCTGGGGAGAGAAGATAGCTCCACAGGGACATTTAACAAGACAAAATGCAGAAGGAAAGTCCCAGAAGAATGGACATAATGGGTGAAGGATGTCAAGGTAGTTCAAAGGATGACAAGTGGCAGCAGGGAGGAGTGTGTCAGAAAATCTGGTTATGAGATCGGTCCAAGATTTGTTATAATCTTGCTACAAGAGACATAGCCTCCAGTAGATGAACCCAAAGATTCCCTCTTGGTAGGAAAACTATAGAGGAGGAGAGAATGGATAGGTAATCATCGTTAGACAAGATGCAAGAAGAATGTTCAGTTGAAGGTCACTAGACACTTAACTGACAGTCAGCAGGGTGGGTGGGTGAGTGGGTGGTTAGTTTTCTCAGAGCAAGTCTCAATCCCATTATACTTTCCAGAAACTAGGTTAAGCATTTTTATCAGAAATGCTAATGTCTTCCCGCAACTAGATTCTGACATCCATCTCACCAAAAATTCTATCCTCGTCTACATTCAGGACAATTTTTCCTTTATCCCATCACATCTGTGTCTTTCATGGCCTGGTCTGCCCCTACAAGGCAACCAAGACCACAAAACTCAATTCATATTGTGTGACTGCTGTCAGAGGCCAGGTCTGGACTTAACATTTACTCTCTGAAGCAGAAAGATGACCCCGGTTAGCTTATTCTCGTGGGATAAACGTATAGGGGTGGACCCAGGTGCAGTCATGTCTAAAACTTGTACAGTTTGGGGGATACTCTTTAAGAAAAAAATACAAAATTATGACTATATAACTAGGCACAAAAATACATATTTATTTAGGATGAGAA